CTCACACACACACACAAAAGAAAATCACTGGTCTAACGGTGTCTTTCTTGGGAACTGTAAGCCCCCTGAGCTTATTTCTGTGCCTTAGCACCTGAACTGTAAGCCCCCTGAAGGCAGCTCTGTGCCTCAGCACCTGGCATAGAGGAAGCATCCAGTGCTTTCATATCCTCAGTATACCACCACGTGTGTTAGGGAAAAACTTTTTTTTTTTTTTTTTTTTTTTGAGGCGGAGTCTCGCTCTGTCACCCAGGCTGGAGTGCAGTGGCTGGATCTCAGCTCACTGCAAGCTCCGCCTCCCGGGTTTACACCATTCTCCTGCCTCAGCCTCCCGAGTAGCTGGGACTACAGGCGCTCGCCACCTCGCCCGGCTAGTTTTTTGTATTTTTTTAGTGGAGACGGGGTTTCACCGGGTTAGCCAGGATGGTCTCGATCTCCTGACCTCGTGATCCACCCGTCTCGGCCTCCCAAAGTGCTGGGATTACAGGCTTGAGCCACCGCGCCTGGCTGGGAAAAACTTTTAAAACACAACCCCCCCTTTTTTTTTTAAAAGAGACAGGGTTTCACCCTGTCACCCAGGTTGAAGTACAGTGGCGCAGTCATAGCTCAGTGCAACCTCAAACTCCTAGGCTGAAAGGATCCTCCCACCTCAGCCTCCCAAGTAGCCAGGACTACAGACATGTGCCACTATGCCCAGCTAATTTTTTTTTTTTTTTGGTAGAGACAGGGTTTTGCTTTGTTACCCAGGCTGGTCTTCAATTCCTGGGCTCAAGCCATCCTCCCGCCTCAGCCTCCCAAAGTGCTGTGATAGCAGGTATGAGCTCCTGCATCTAGCCCCCACCAGTCATTTATTACTTGGGTCTATCCTGAAGAGAATAAACTTCTCTAATTTATGTGAATCTTGTGCACATGCTCTTACATGCCCCCCCCAAGCCCATTTGGTTTATCCCTTTGTCTCCTTAATGATCCAGATGTTCTCCCTCTTTGTTGCTAAGTCTTATTGAGGAATTGAGGGGCCCTCCGGACCCCAGGGCTCCACCTATATATGGCTGCCCTAGTCATCAGAGTTGGTTTTATTCTTGCTTGAAATGAAGCCTGACTTCAGTGTCTCTGTTTATTTCAGATGACTTTGAAGAAGCCAAGGAAATTTTGACAAAGATGAGATACTTTTCAAATATAGAAGAAAAGATCAAGTTAAAGAAGATTCCCCTTTAATTGTTGATAGTTTAAAGTTTAAAAAATAAAGTTCTTGCCAGGCGCAGTGGCTCACACCTGTAATCCCAGCACTTTGGGAGGCTGAGGTGGGTAGATCACGAGGTCAGGAGTTCAAAAGCAGCTTGGCCAACACAGTGAAACCCCATCTCTGCTAAAAATACAAAAATTAACCGGGCATGGTGGTGCGTGCCTGTAGTCCCAGCTACTCGGTAGGCCGAGGCAGGAGAATCACTTGAACCCTGGAGGTGGAGGTTGCAGTGGGCAGAGACTGCCACTGCGCTCCAGCTTGGGCAACAGAGTGAGACTTTGTCTCAAAAAATAAGAAAATAAACAAAGTTATTGTGTATTTCTTTTCTGGCTTCTGGTAATTGGGAATAGATAAGCTTTAACCATTTATATCATCTTAATTAAGCCTGTGGCTCAAGCATTAATGGATGGCAAAGTTTGTCATGTGGGAAGAAAGACAGCCTAGTCAGAGCTTTGGGTGGTCAGTTCTTCATCTGATACTTGACATTGCATGACCCCAATGTAGGCTAATGGATGAAGAGGTGGAGATGGGGCCAATTTGAGGCCCTACAAAGAGGAGTCCAAAAACTTTTTTCTGCAAAGGGCCTGGTAGTGAATATTTTCAGCTTTGTGGTCTATATCAAGGGTCCCCAACCTGTTAGGAACTGGATCACACAGCAGGAGGTGAGTGGCAGGTGAGCGTGCAAGCGAGCATTACCGCCTGAGCTTCGTCTCCTGTCAGATCCGCTTTGACCTTAGATTCTCAAAGGAATACGAACTGCACATGTGAGGGTTCTAAGTTGCATGCTCCTTGTGAGAATCTAATGCCTGATGATCTGAGGTGGAGTAGTTTCATCCCCAAACCATCCTCCAGCACCATCCGCATCCATGGAAAAACAGTCTTCCATGAAACCACTCCCTGGTGCCAAAAAGGCTGGGGACCCCTGGACTATATGGTCTTTGTTGTAACTGCTGTTGTGCCATTGTGACACAATCAGCGTAGAGAGTATGAAAACAAATGGACAGGGCTGTGTGCCGGTCAGACTTTATTTACAAAGCAGTTGATGAGCCAGACTTGGCCATGGCTCTGCCAACCTCTGCCCAAGAACCACAACTTTCTAATGGCATGACCCTCCTCCCTAAGATAGGTAGTCCCCTTTGGTACTGTGGCCTTGGGGCATTCTGTTTGCTAACAAGCAAGGCTGCCTAAGAGTCTCTTTGGTCTAAATTTCAAACTAGATAATATTATAAAGAATTAGGGCCGGGCGCGGTGGCTCACGCCTGTAATCCCAGCACTTTGGGAGGCCGAGGCGGGTGGATCACAAGGTCAGGAGATCGAGACCATGGTGAAACCCCGTCTCTACTAAAAATACAAAAAATGAGCTGGGCGCGGTGGCGGGCACCTGTAGTTCCAGCTATTCGGGAGGCTGAGGCAGGAGAATGGCGTGAACCCAGGAGGCGGAGCTTGCAGTGAGCCAGGATCGCGCCACTGCACTCCAGCTTGGGCGACAGAGCGAGACTCCGTCTCAAAAAAAAAAAAAAAAAAAAAAAAAGAATTAATCTGGTATTAGGCCAGACATGGTGGCTCATGCCTGTAATCCCTGCACTTTGGGAGGCCAAGGCGGATAGATTACCTGAGGTCAGGAGTTCAAGACCAGCCTGGCCAACATGATGAAAACCCATCCCCACTAAAAATACAAAAAATTAGCCAGGCATGGTGGTGCGTGCCTGTGATCCCGGCTACTCGGGAGGCTGAGGCAGGAGAATCACTTGAACCCGGGAGGCGGAGGTTGCAGTGAGCTGAGCTTGCACCACTGCACTCCAGCCTGGGCAACAAGAGCAAAAAACTCCATCTTAAAAAAAAAAAAAAATTGATCTGGTATTAAGCACTAACCACATTTTCTGCTCCATCTTAGTGGAGTAGAGAGTAGTTGTAATTACTCCCTGGACAGCTGACGCACTTGTCACTATTTCCATGCTCTTCTAATGCAGCCCAATGCAGCTCTACTTCCCCTTCTGTATCTTTGAAATTCAGTTTAAGTTCTTCATCCCTTTCCAGGAAAACAAACAAAAAGTCTCTGGATCAAGGAAGATTAAAATAGCAAACAAAATTCTGAATTAAAAAATTCCAAGGCCAGGCGCAGTGGCTCCTGCCTGTAATCCCAGCACTTTGGGAGACCGAGGCAGGGGGATCACCTGGGGTCAGGAGTTCAAGACCAGCCTGACCAACATGGAGACACCCCGTCTCTACTAAAAATACAAAAAATTAGCCGGGTTGTGGTGGTGCATGCCTGTATCCCAGCTACTCAGGAGGCTGAGGCAAGAGAATCGATTGAACCCAGGAGGCGGAGGTTGCAGTGAGCCGAGATTGTGCCACTGCACTCCAGCCTAGGTGACAGAGTGAGACTCTGTCTCAAAAAAAAAATTCCAAGAAACAACATTTTAAAACTCTGGAGATAATTGCCTGTCTGTAATTGGAAAAAAGTCAGGGGGTTTGATCCAAAGTTTAAATACTACTCCAAGAACTTAAAACTGTAGCTCCTTTGCAGTTTCTTTTTTCTTTTTTCTTTTTTTTGAGACAGACTCTTGGCTCTTGTTACCCAGGTTGGTGTGCAATGGCGTGATCTCAGCTCACTGCAACCTCCACCTCCTGGGTTCAAGCGTTTCTCCTGCCTCAGCCTCCCAAGTAGCTGGGATTACAGGCAACTGCCACCATGCCTGGCCATTTTTTTGTATTTTAGTAGAGATGGGGGTTTCACCATGTTGGCCAGGCTGGTCTTGAACTCCTGACCTCAGGTGTTCCACCCGCCTCAGCCTCCCAAAGTGCTGGGATTACAGGCATGAGCCACCATCCCAGTCTCTTATCCTTGTCGAAAAATGTGTATCTTGTGAATCCCGAACCAGTTATACTCAGTTAACATTTTAGAATTCTTTGATCTTTAGAAGGCAAATTAACCACAGCAGCTGTCGGGCTTAATGATACTTGGGAACATCAGTACAATCTCCACCCCCTCACAATATACAAGGAGAATGAATTACTTGTCTGAAAACACACCAGGAGTCCTTTAAGTAAATAATTACAATGCAAGCATATGTCCTCATTAAATTGGGTGCTTCTGCAAAAAAAAGGAGGAAATGAAAGGAGGGTTTGAAATACTTGTGCAGACAATCTTCATTCTTTCTTCAGAACAATGATCAAGACCAAAACAATCTGACCACAAAAATAAATCAGATCAACATTGCCACATCTTTGGAGGAACTTCAAAGAAACTTTCCTTTACCTGTTACCATCAGCTGGAAAAGCTGCAGGGCCTCCCAGCAAACCATGTCTAATTTGGGGAATAAATAAAAAAGACATTATTTCTGAGTCATGGCTTCTGAGGTGAGTGGGCTTACCTTTTTCTCCCACCGCTTCCAAATTCTTCCCCTTCTCATCTGAAGTTTAACTGGACTTCTAAATCCAGGAACCCTTTCAAGTGTTCCCTAACAAAGCCCTGTGGGAGGTATGCTAATAGACGGCTGAAAAGTTGGCAGCCCAATTTGGATTAAAGTTTCAGACCAACAATTGAAGCAAATGAAGCACCTCCTGCCCCCGCCCCCAACACACACAGGCACACACACACACAGTTCCCAATATAGTGTCAGAACAAATCAGAGGTTTCAACTAATTTGTGACTATGTCTTCCCAGAGTTTGGTGTCAGACAGTGTTTGTGTTGTGAACTGAATAATTTTGTCCCCCAAAATTCATATGTTGCAGTTCTGGCGCCTCTAAGGAAGTAATTAAGATTCTACAAGCCAGGAAGAGAAACTGAAACTGACCATGCTGGTACCTTGAGCTTGGACTGCAGCCTCCAAAACTGTGAGAAAATAAATTGCTGTTATTTAAGCTACCTAATATCTGGGTTTGAGTCCCAGTTCCCCTGCTTATATTTCATCTGTATTTTTTTTTTTTTTCGAGATGGAGTCTCGCTCTGTCGCCCAGGCTGAAGTGCAGTAGTGCCATCTTGGTTCACTGCAACCTTCACCTCCCAGGTTCAAGCTATTCTCCTGCCTAAGCCTACCAAGTAGCTGGGATTACAGATGCCCGCCACCACACCCGGCTAATTTTTTTTTTTTCTTGTATTTTTAGTAGAGATGGGATTTCACCATGTTGGCTAGGCTGGTCTCGATCTCCTGACCTCGTGATCCACCCACCTCAGCCTCCCAAAGTACTGGGATTACAGGCATGAGCCACCGCGCCTGGCCATCGTCATCTGTATTTTGTTTGTTTGTTTGTTTGTTTGTTTGTTTGCTTTTGAGAAAGGGTCTCTGTTATCCAGGCTGGAGTGCAGTGGTACAGTCTTAGCTCACTGCATCCTTGACCTCCCAGGCTCAATCAATCCTCCCACCTCAACCTCCCAAGTAGCTGGAACCACAGATGGGCACCACCATGCCTGGCTAATTTTTTAATTTTTTGTAGAGATGGGGTCTCTCTACATTGCCCAGGCTGGTCTCGAACTCCTGGGCTCAAGCTATCTACCCACCTTGGCCTCCCATAATGCTGGGAATACAGGGGTGAGCCACCATGCCCAGCGTCCTCATCTTATTTACGTATTTATTTATTTAAGACAAGGTCTGGCTCTGTTGCCCAATCTGGAGTGCAGTGGCATGATCTCGGCTCACTGCAACCTCCACTTCCCGGGCTCAAGCCATTCTTCTGCCTCAGCCTCCCAGGTAGCTGGAACTACAGGCATGCACCACCATGCTCGGCTAATTTTTGTATGTTTTGTAGAGACAGGGTTTTGCCATGTTGCCCAGGCTGGTCTCTAGTGATCTGCCCACCTCAGTGGCCTCTCAAAATGTTGGGATTACAGGCATGAGCCACTGTGCCCGGACATGGCCTCCTTATCTTTAAAAGGATAATAATAGTTCCTATCTCACAGTGTCATTGTGAAGATTAAGTGAAATAAATTATCCATGCAAATTGCTTAACATGGAGCATGGCACATGGAACTCAGAGATAATTCTTCTTTTACTTTCAATTATAATTACTACTTTTATTATTTTTACTTGGGAAACAAAATCATGCCTTTCATTGTGCCGTAAATACATTCTTCCAACAAAATTCCAAGCACCTACTTTGTGTAAGAAACCACTTAGCCCTGAGAGAGAGAGAACAGTCAGATGCTTCCTGTATATTTGGGGACATCATTTTTCACCAAAAACAAAACAATAATAAAAGTTCTGGGCTGGGCCGGGTACGGTGGCTCACGCCTGTAATCCCAGAACTTTGGGAGGCAGAAGTGGGTGGATCACTTGAGGTCAGGAGTTCGAGACCAGCTTGGCCAACATGGTGAAACCCGGTCTCTGCTAAAAATACAACAATTAGCCAGGCGTGGTGGTGTGCGCCTGTAATCCCAGCTACTTGGGAGGCTGAGGCAGAAGAATCACTTGAACTTGGGAGGTGGAGGTTGCAGTGGGCTGAGATCATGCCACTCAACTCCAACCTGGGCAACAGAGTAAGACTCCATTTTAAAAAAAAAAGATTCTGGACTGGGTATGATAGCTCACACCTGTAATCCCGGTACTTTGGGAGACCAAGTGGGAGGATCACTTGAGCCCAGGAGTTCAAGACCAGTCTGGGCAACATAGTGAGACCCCATCTCTACAAAAAATTTTAAAACTTAACCAGGTGTGTTGGCAGCCTGTGGTCCCAGCTACTGAAGTGGGAAGATTGCTTGAGCCCAGGAGTTTGAGGCTGCAGTGTGCTATGTACATGCCACTGTACTCCAGCCTGGGCAAAAGAGCAAGACCCTGCCTGAAAAAAAAACAAAGTTCCCATTTCCTGCATAGTTACCATATGCCAGGGAATATGTGTAGTATTTCGCCTGATTCCATCAAAATAAGCCGAATTTGACTTATTTTACTGATGAAGAAACACAATTCAAGAAGGTAAAAGTTAGCCAGGTGAGGTGGCTCATGCCTGTAATATCAGCACTTTGGGAAGCCGTGGCAGGTGGATCACTTGAGGCCAGGAGTTAGAGACAAGCCTGGGCAACATAGCAAGACCCCATGTCAAGTTTTTTTTTTTTTTTTTTTTTTTTTTTTTTTTTTGAGATAGTCTCGCTCTGTTGCCCAGGCTGGAGTGCAATGGCATGATCTAAGTGCACTGCAGCCCCCGCCTCCCAGGTTCAAGCGATTCTCCTGCCTCAGTCTCCCAAGTAGCTGGGATTATAGGCACTCACCACCACGCCCAGCTAATTTTTGTATTTTTAGTAGAGATGGGGTTTCTCCATGTTGCACAGGCTGGTCTCGAACACCTGGTCTCAAGCCATCCGCCTGCCTCAGCCTCCCAAAGTGCTGGAATTACAAGTGTTAGCCACCATGCCCAGCCACGTCTCAATATTTTTTTTAATGTAACAAAAATAGAAAAACAAAAGTAAGAGTATTTAAACCCATCTATCTGCAAAGCCTGTGCTCTTAAAGGGCTGAACTCACCAAGATTAAGTACCAGTCAATGGGGTTAAGCAATTCATAATGAGAGGTGCCATTTACCAGGGTCCATGCCATGCCACGGAGAGGTAAGATTTGTTAGGAGTCCTATTTCCAAAGCCTGTGCATACAGCCTCACTGGTTCTAGGGAGGGATCATTTCCAGGTGTGGTAACTGAAGAAGGGAAGAGGAGGAATAAAATCCAGACAAGCAGAAAGAAACTACGTCAGGTGTCCTTCAAACCACCGGAATTCTGATGATTTGCCAGGAGATCTCACAGGATTCAGTATATGGTCCTACTCATGGCTATAACTTATTATAACAAAAGTATACAAAATGAAATCAACACAAGGAAAAGGCTCCTGGCACAAAGTCTGATAGAAATCGGATGCAAGCTTCCAAGGGTCTTCTTCCAGTGGAGTCACATCAGAAGCACATAATTCCCCCAGTAACAAGTTGTGACAACACATGTGAAAATGTTGTCTGTAAGGAAGCATAGATAGACGCAATACCAAGGGGTTGGCCGGGCACGGTGGCTCACACCTGTAATCCCAGCCTTTAGGAGGCTGAGGAGTGCAGATCACTTGAGGTGATAACTTCTGACAACCCCCACCCCTCATGGATCATTGCCATGAACAGTTTGGTATCATGTGTTTCTTTCAGAGGGGATAAAGCCTAGTACTCTGGTATTATTTACCTAACTCGCTTGCTAAGATTGTTTCTTTTTTTCAGATGGAGTCTTGCTCCATCACCCAGGTTGCAGTACAGTGGCACGAACTCAGCACACTGCAACCTCTGCCTCCTGGGTTCAAGTGATTCTCCTGCCTCAGCCTCCTAAGTAGCTGGGACTACAGGCATGTGCCACCATGCCCAACTTATTTTTGTATGTTTTGATACAGACAGGGTTTCACTATGTTGGCCAGGCTGGTCTTATACTCCTGACCTAAGGTGATCTGCCCGCCTCAGCTTCCCAAAGTGCTGGAATTACAGGCATGAGCCAACGTGCCTGGCCGCTAAGTTTGTTTCTTAAGTTCTATCAATTAATAACTATTATGTAGGCAAATTACTCATTCCCCTCCCGCTGGCCCCAGCTTTGTTTTTTTTTTTTTTTCTGAGACAAGGTCTTGCTCTGTTGCTCAAGCTGGAGTGCAGTGTTGCAGTCACAGCTCACTGCAGCCTCAACTGCCCAGGATAGTCATAATGGAGTTTCCTTCTGGATGGTATTAAGTGATTTTTATTTGCTTTTCTGTACTTTTATCAGCCCCACCACTAACTAAGAAGCTGTGTTCATTTTATAACCAGAAAACATTGTTTAAAAAAAAGGTAGGGAGGAACAGTTGAGATTAACCACCAAGGAAAAAGTAGTCATGAAAGGATTGTCTAAGTGTCTGTATGTCTCTGACCCACCAACCCTATGAGAGGTGCACTGGAAGTAACATCGAAGAGGCAGGGTTGGACAGTCACTAAGAAAAAGATGGGTCCAGGTGCAGTGGCTCATACCTGTAATCCCAGCACTTTGGAAAGCCAAGGCAGGTGGATCACTTGAGGTCAGGAGTTTAAGACCAGCCTGGCAAATATGACAAAACCCTGTCTCTACTAAAAATACAAAAATTTGGCCAGGTGCAGTGGCTTATGCCTGTAATCCCAGCACTTAAAGAGGCCGAGGCAAGTGGATCACTTGAGGTCAGAAGTTCGAGACCAACCTGAGCAACATGGTGAAACCCCATCTCTCCTAAAAAGACAAAAAATTAGCCAGCTGTGGTGGCACATGCCTGTAATCCCAGCTACTCGGGAGGCTGAGGCAGGAGAATCACTTGAACCCGGGAAGCGGAGGTTGCAGTGAGCTGAGATTGGGCCATTGCACTCCAGCCTGGGCTACAAGAGTGAAACTTCGTCTCAAAAAAAAAAAAAAAATTGGCCAGGCATGGTGGTGTACACCTGCAGTCCCAGCTACTCAGGAGGCTGACACAGGAGAATTGCTTCAACCCGGGAGGTGGAGGTTGCAGTGAGCACCACTGCACTCCAGCCTGGGTGACAGAGTGAGACTCTGTCTCAAAAAAAGAAAAAATAAAAACAAGAGGAGGGGCTCTTAGGGGCCACTGTCAAATTCTGTAGCTGCTCTCCCCAGGGTAATGGAGGAGACAACTAACTACAATCCTCTGACTTATGCTTCTGGGGTCTTAAGCTCCAAGGTCTCAGACACACTGTAGTGAGGCTTTCAGATTGATTCCCCAAAGCCCTTTCTTTCACAGAATTCAGTGAGATGAGCAGACCCTACAAGTTTAGGGCAGGATCTAGGGTCTCAGATCTGAGGCTGGGCACTGGCTAGTTCACATATAGCTGAGGGAATTGGGAACCATAACTTGCCTCAATTTCCTTATCTGTAAA